AGACCACTGTAGTGGCGCTTTCATACGCTGGTGTTTACTTCTGTAGCAAATCATGGCCGCGGGGCATAAAGCGGAATTTGGTACAAGGTCTGAACAGGAGGCCACCAGATATGGTGGCGCGTATCCGAACAAATCCACCCCCCACCCTCCTCCCAAAGAGCTGAACGTTCACAACTGCTACGACCCCCAACACAACTTGGATTTTATTTGTTTGTTCAAGGAAACTTGTCACAACTTTAACTGTGGCTCCCCCCACTAATTAAAAACCAAACTGACAGTGTGTTTTCTCAAGGGAGCTCCAATTAGCTCCTTACCACACACACGTCTGAGCTCGCTTTATTCTAGGGAGGATTGGGATCCCACTGAGCTTTATGTCACGGATCCACCTCCCCTCCATTTCCTCTAATGAGCAAAGGGCTATTGCACAACCAGCCACACCTAAATCACTGATAACACTGATCTATGTGGACCTGTCAGTTTTCAAAAACGTCACTTTTAAAGTAAATTTCCAACGTGACTTTCTTTCGCCTCAAAAAGCGATGTCGATCTTTGTTTTTTTTTAAATACTTTATAAAGGTTCCTAGAGAAGCTTTGTAAGTTTCACAATGGTAATTAGGGATGTCCGATAATATCGGCCAACCGATATTGTATTAGCATAATTAGCCAATATTTGCATAATTATGTAATATCTGTAAAAATTGTTTTTGGTTTTTTTCCTCTGATATTGAAAACTCGATGATGCAATGTCTGGGTTTTCGAGACCTTTAGTGCCACCAGACCACCACTGCGCCGCTATGTTGGTATCGGTTGGTATCGAAATCAAAAAATAAGTGTTTGGACCATATCGGCATAAGGGATATTGGCAAAAAGTTAATATCGCACATCCCTGAAAATAATAGAGATAACACATTGCTGCATTGCATTTATAATGTTGAGTTTGTATATATTAATATATACTGCATATATTGCATTCATAGATTTTTTTTTCAATGTTTAATCCTGAAATTTTGACCAATATCGGACCAATACCGATCCTGAGTGAGTCATCTCTGCTCTACCTTTATGCACTATTTTGTGTTCCTATCAATTCAATCACATTCGTTTGTTTTATTCTTGGCAATTGTTACGCAAAATTATTGCTGTACATGAAACTGTATATGAAGAGGAGGACCCACGGTACATCTGATATCTCTTACAGGAGAATCGTTTTGACATCTCATCGACGTAGGGGCGCAAATTGACACTCCCTGGGAGGAGTCGAAAAATGTCCTGTGTACCTAAGTGTTTTTTTTTTACCTCTGATTGGACTATGCTGAGTGGCGCTTTGGCCCAGAGGCAATGTCTCTGTCATTGGTGTGGAACCCCAGGGTTCACCTCCTGGGCAAGTTCGAATCCCGGTTAGGACGGTTGGTACCTTCCAGTGGACTCACCACCTGCAGGAAGGTTTGGTACGGTGCAATGTGATTTGGGTGGCGACTGCTGCCCCCGCGACCCGGTAACGGATAAGCGGATGAAAATGGATGGATGGATGGATGGACTATGCTGAAATCTATCTATTGAATTTAGTGGGTGCGACTTATATTCAGGTGTCAATAGTCCAGACATTAGGGTAGTCTAGCAGCCAATCACATGACAGGTGCATATGCTGTGAATTTATTGAAATCACATCACTGAACTGGTTTGTCCAACATGACTGTGTTGTCCACAGTCTCCAGCAAAAAAAAAAGTTTTCTGTGTTTTATGTTGTACAGTGTATAAAGGGGGCAGATGCCATTTTTCTGCTAGCAGAGGGATTTGGTTTTCCTTTTTTGCTCACTGAAATGATTTGAAAAAGCCTCTGCACCTGCTGCAGTCAGCTGTGGCCATTTTCCCAGCAAAGTTGTTGGCAGTTTGTTCTGTACGCCCAATAAGCTCGAGCATCGGTTTATAAGCAGAAAGTTGTGAGTATCATAAATCTTTGTTGGCACATAATTGCATTAACAAACATGTCTATAGAAAAACGGAATTTTTTTTTGAAAATCTAATTCGCCTTTTTTCTTCTTAAGTATCTGCCGCCCGTAGTTGGGCAACGGCCCATCCCAGATAAGGAGAGAGTCTCGGAGGTTCAGGGATCTCCCACTTTCCGGGGGATGTTGCAGCACAAAGGTTTGTATGTCGTAAGGTACCCCTAAAACAGGGGTCCCGAACCCCCGGTCTGGGGGACCTGTGCAGACTGGTTCAGGTCATTATATATATATATATTTGATCTCAGGTTAGCAGAACAGCTTGGACATGTATACTTACATATTTTTTTAAAAATAAGGGGCGGGGGAGATCGGTGGCCCAGACTTAGGTCCGGAAGATTTGTGGTTCAAGTGCACAAGCTGCCAAGTTACCACTGAGCATGGCACCGTCCCCACATACTGCTCCTCAGGTTCAGCTAGCTGCCCCCTGCTCACTTTGGTGCTGGGTTATATCAGTGGTCCTCCATTATTTCCATCATGCCCCCCCCCCTCCCTTAAAATACTATTGAGAACTTGATGAGAACATGTATATTATTATCTGTACAAACCACTGTATGAGTTGCTGCCACCTAGTGATTGGAGGCTTGTTATCATTCAAGCATTGCAGCAGTCGTACACTTATGTCCAGCATGTCATATTCTATTGGGAGCTTGTCCAACTATTTGAGAAGTACTGGGTTAAATGCAGAGGTCACATTTTGTTGCAGTGGTGTGCTGTATCACGACGACAAGTAGTTTACTTTCCTTTCTGTCCATTCTCAAGACAGAAAAAAACAGAAGCCATTTCTGTATGCATGTCCATCTTGTTACCCTTGCGATAAATTGAAAACCAAATGTCTTCCTCCTTCCACCCTAGTCTGGCACAAAAACATCTGAATAAACTGTATGTTCCAACTGATTAGCCAATAAGTCAATGTAAAGAGAACGGTCTCTTTTTTTTTTTTTTTCCTTTTCTCTCTAACAAGATGTTAGTGACAGTGGAGCTTTAGACATGTGGTAAGCAGGACAGGGCGATGACGATGGTGTGGGGGTGTGTTGGCTGGTGGCAGACAGGCTGCGAGAACGGTCTGTCTTTGGTATGGAAATGGGCATCACACGGAGCAGTGATAAAATATCCGAATTTCACAGAGAACGCCAGGGGCTGTTTGGACATCTGCTCGCGTAGCTCGCTGGCCTCTCGTGAGCACTCGGGGAAATCAACATGCACGCATTACTTTAAGCAACTCAGGCATACAGGTACCCCAATCACCGCTCCGCCCACACAAACATTAGTTTGTGCATTTAAACAGGAAACGATCCCGGCAGGCCAAGCGGCTGTTGGCTTCTCTGCACAACTCAGTAAAGACAGGAAAAATTTAGCTTAGCGTTAAAAAAAAATTATTATAGACCAAGGGGTATCAAACTAATTTTCACCAAGGGCCACATCAGCAAATACAGTTCTCCTTGAAGTACCGCTTGTACCTGGAAGACTGTATAGATCAGGGGTCACCAACCTCGGTCCGCAGACCAGTACCAGTCCAGTCTTTTGGTCCACAAGGGACACTAAAAAAATGTACTTAATTTTTTACTAATTTACTTAATTCAAAGAAAGTCCAGTCATATCCAAATACTAATCAAAGAAATATATATACATATATCTTCTATAAATACTATTATATACAGTATTATATACTGTTTGTATATATTTAGGAACATATATACACAGACATACATGTTCCCATAAATCAAAATATGCATACACACCAAATGAAGATATAAAAACAAAAAAGTAAATCAATATATATATATATATCTTCTATATGTATACTATGCATATGTAGATATGTATTATCTACATATAAATAGTATATTTATATAGAGAGAGAGAAGATATTGGTGTATATATATATATATATATATATATATACTCACATGCATACATGTAGGCAGAAGTCATAATATACTGTATATACATAAATATCTCACAAATCTTCAGTTCAGTTCATCATTCCAGCAATGTACTTACAAACTTTACAGAAATTACAAATATTTCCAGGTTTTCTAGAACTTTTCAAACTCGTTTTTCCAGGTGTAATTTATTTTATCTAAAGCCAGGTTAAACTTCATCCCTGTCAATCACTGTGAATTAGTACTAGGTTTGTCCTTTTTTTGCATGAGCAAGCTACACATATTTTAGCTTCCGAAAAACAAATACTTGGTAAGGCTTTTTCATTTCAGGAGGTCCTAAGGTAATTCAGAAAAATATTCAGCAAACATGGTATGAGAGGTACTTCTGTATCAATAATTTGATTCGACAGGTTCAGCACTTTTTTTCCCCACATAAAATAGAATAAAAATAAAAAATGTTGTGGCCACGTTTTATAATATGGAGTCCTGAAATTATTAAATCATCAACTAAAATAGTGATTTGCGTAAAGCACGTGGGTAACGTTCAAATTGCATGATTCATTTAAATCGTGAAACTGACATATCTAAGTATAAATTAAAAAAATAAACACAATTTTGCTCACAGAATGATTTGTCAAACAGCTCCCTCTTGTGTTATTTTTAAAAAGCACAATATAAAACACACCTCGAGGCATTCCTTCAAATAACCCCGTTGGCAAAACATCACCTTTACACTGAGGTTGCAGAAATTAGTCGCTACAGTAAGTCTTGGGATCGTATTTATTTGTTCAATACTTTACCTACCGACGCGTTTTTTTTAATAATTTCGTAAAGTTAAGATTTTCAAAACAGACGTTATAACTCCATAGTGCAATACTGGTTTATGTCCAGTAGGTGGTGCCATACAATTACATTAAGGAAACGAATAGTGACCTGGGCACAATGGTCAGTGGTGGGCTTCTAATTTAACATTCGACACTTGTAAAAAAAATGATACATGAGTATCAATTATTTACAAGTACCAATACTTATAAATAAACTGATTGATTTCAGAATTTTAACCTTTATGACCAGGACTAAAGTTGATCAAAATATATGAAAAATGAGAAAATTAGGGAATAAACGTCTTTATTATTAGTCATGAGAGAATTACAGAGTAAAATGTTTGACAAAAGGAACATTTCATTTCATTTCAACAGAACAAACAGGAGTCTCAAAACAAAAGTTTACAGTCATTTGTCAAATAAATAGAACTAACAAACAGATCAAAACCAATAGTCTGAGTAAGAGGAGTTACACAAAACTGATGAGTAAGGATGTTGAATATTAACTTTTTGCCGATATCCGCTATTGTCTACACTTAATTTTTGATTCCGATAAAAAAACGTTAATAATTCTTACAATCTTTACTGATACGTTTGAAGATAAAATACTGTTTAGTCACTATAGTTTCTTTGCTCGTGAAGGTCAAGACGGTGACCACGGGTAGGCTATTTCAGTGGAACTGACTGTCATTTTTCCTTTGACCTAGTGAAAAATGAATGTTGCCCCGTACAGACACTTCTCACCATCGAGGAACCGATGAAGTGCGGCGTTAATCCGTAACTTTTCGTATTATTTATATTTATTTTTCTACATCAAGAAAACGGTTTGCCTCGTGTCGACAAAACTTCCTTTAAAGCATTTGCATCTGAAGGAAAAAAATCTGGTGAAAAATAATAATAGAAAAATAATGACATGCCTCGAACTGTTTTTAAATAAAAATGTGTACATTTGCCTGATGGTACACAAACTTCATTATCGGTACTAAATGAATGAATGTTCCATGCCAATGTGAATAGTCAATTTCTCAGCATACAATTACTTGAATATCTGAGAACTGTCACAGACCATACAATAGAAAGGCCAAGAAAAACATAAGAAAAATGTCCGAAAAATAAAATTGAGAAAAAAAAAAAAAAAAAAAAAAAGATTGACCTGTTGTGGTGCGTGTCATCTAGGAGGACCATCGCCACCAGGCCACCTTCATGCGATCCCAGACGGCTCCTATAGAGTCAAAGGCAGGGCGTACATCCAGGATGGAGAACTGAAATGTGTCCTTGTTGATTTCACCCTCATAGTAGTCGATGACGTATCGGACCTCCTTCCCACATCGGTCAACAATCCAGTCGTGGCGGTCGAAGGGCAGCTCATAACTATGTTGAAGGAAAGTTACAAAGATGACATCACAGTGTGTTGGACCCAAACCTGACCCTCCTACTGATTCTGGAGGATCTCCTTAGCAGGGAGGTCGTGTTTGTGGATTTTCAGCCCTTTTTCCGTTGCCGTATGGAAAAAAAAGATGACATCACAGTGTGTTGGACCCAAACCTGACCCTCCTACTGATTCTGGAGGATCTCCTTAGCAGGGAGGTCGTGTTTGTAGATTTTCAGCCCTTTTTCCGTTGCTACGTCGTGACATAACTTGCATGCCCCCCCCACCGCTAGTACAGTGCTAACATTATTACCCAGGACATGAAATCATCAGAAGAGTCTGACTTGCATTTGGGAGCCACAATGAAGAGCAAAAAAACCAACACAAACCAAAGAAAGGCAACGACGACAACCCAATGTATGGCGTACACAAACGTAAACAAAGCCATCTTCTGCGAGCAGTGCTGGGGTAGGGGGTTAGCGCAAAGGGTAGAGCAGTCACTCAACATGCGAGAGGTAGCAGGATCGACGTCCGCATCCTCCATGTCACCAAAATGACTTCCAACAAGTCTAAAGGAAGCTAAGAATCTTACCCCATCCAGTGACGCACGCGAGCCCTAGGTGAGTATTCTTTAGCTTTCCCGCCAAATCTCTTCAATGTTGGACCACATGGACATTCACTGCGAAAGGGAGTTATAAAAGAGAACACTCAAAAAAAAAAAAAAATAGAATCAATTAAAGAACTATCATTTTTAGACTGAAGCTTTGTACTTCGTAGCTCACCTTGCATGAAGAGCTTCCCACTTTAGGATCTCATGCCAGGCCTGCTCATTGTTCTTGTTATGAATTTTGATAATATTGCTCATGTCTTGAGCAGCGAGGTCATCCTCACGCCAGCGCCACCTGCAGCAGGACCACACATGAACACGGCACGCTGAAGTTGGATTCCAAATAACCAACGCACTTTCTGTACACTACAGTCACAAAAACAATGAAACTAATAGTTTAACCCAGGGGTGTCATTTTCTCTCATTTTCGTTCAGGGGGCCACATACATAGCCAGAGTAGGCCGGACTCAAGTGGGCCGGACCATACAGAACATAATTAACTATAAACATCAATAACTCCTGTCCTCTCCCCCTTTGTTTTCTTGAAAATAACTACGTGTTAGAAAATATTTATTTTCATTGAAATAAAATCTGTCACCAACATTTAGTATTTGTGCATTCTTTCCACTTTCATTGAACCCTTTAGTGGGCCAGTTTTGGCCCACGGGCCACATGTATGACACTCCTGGTTTAACTGCTCAATACACTTGAAAGTATTATAGTTTTGATGTATTAATCAATTTAATAATGACATAATTTTTTGGCGACCGCAATGATTTTTCTAATTAATTAGAAGCCCTGGTGACCCCACGTGGGGCCCCGATCCCCAGGTTGAAAAACACTGAACTAACCCCTTACGCAGCATGGCGTTCCAGAACATTTGTTCCGAAGGATAGACCCAGTTCTTTTCCGCGCCGTGTCGAGGTATGGTGGACTCCTCTCTGGTGACCGAGAGAGGGAAAGGCTGGCCAGGTGCTGGAGTTTGATTGGGAGGCGGCATCTGTGCGCAGACAGCAAATTATTGCGACAACAGTCCAATTGTCTTAAGGCAGTGGTTCTCAATCATTTTCTGTCATGGCCCCGCCCCCTGGGGGCAGAAATGTTTTCATGCCCTCATAACCCACACCTCTGTAAATTGAAATACTACTGAGAACCTGATAATATGTTTTTTTTTATCCGTACAAACCACTGGGAGTTGCTGCCACCTAGTGACTGGAGGCTTGTTATCAAGCATTTAAGCTTTAAGCATTACAGCAGTACTGTCTTAAAGTAACACAACATATTTAGCATAGTCTAGAGCAAACACAGCCTGCACAAAGCAGCTAACACATTTACACAACTTCCTCGTGTGCTGACGCAAAAATATTCATTTCCTCATTCTGAAAAAATGGTGACAGTTTTGAATACGAGAAACAGAACCCATTACCATGTTCGCCGGATCGATGTCATCCTTCACGCCTGCTGCTGCTGCCTTCATGGGACATTCCACAAAATCATAGGCTCGTTCCTGGTGGGCTGGACCAGCTTCTGCTTTGTGCATTGGACACTGTGATGGAGGAGATGCTACGGGAGACAAAGACACTACAATAAGGCGCTGTGAGCAGGTGGTTCTTTTTAAAAATGAGTAGCGGTCATAATACAAACTCAAGGAGAAATGTTTTTTTCCTGTTAAGAACTAAACATGATGACATTACTGTCTATAGGCCATTACCATTTACTTCTTGATGGAGGGGACACTCTGAAGTTGGAGACGCTGAGGGTAGAGACACGAAACAAAGCAGAAACACCACATCAGTTAATTACAATTGGTACACCAAATGAATAATAATATTTTAAAAAGGCATTTGAAAGACTGACAAACGTTTAGAGAAAATAGCAATATGGAGATACTTGCTGCAAATGACATACCGATAATTACACAATCAGAATGAAAACAGCATGAAAAGGCAGCAATAGAAAATCAGCAGCAATGACTCATCAAAATATTCCAATTAGCCAAATCTTCAATTTAAAAAAAAAAAAAAAAAAAAAAAAACAGCAAGGAATGCACTCATACACGGGGGTACTATTTCTCTCATGTCAACTAAAAATCTATATTAAAAGGTGTTTGTTTCATAAATTTGTTTGATTGGATGTGTGCTTATTCAAAGATAGTAAGATGAAGAGGTGAAAGACAATAGTTCCCTGATGTTTCTGTGGCTCAAAAGAGGGAATAAACAACAAAAACAAACCACATCGGCCAGGTTTTTATTTTTAAACAAGTAGAGTATACTAGCATTAGTATCCATGCATCCCTAATTTTTTTTACACAAACAGACAAGTATAACTGTACCTAAAGAATTTGTCACTTCCTCTCAGTCATTGTCCCCATAGATGTCCCCATCTTTCGTTTGGGAGTGAGACATGTGACCAGGTGACAATGATAGGCGATAAAGGTGCAATGATATGCTAACGTTACTTCTCTTCTGAAAAACATACCTGTGACTGGCTTGGCTTCTTGGTGCATAGGGCAGCCCTGAGGAGGTGAAGCCATCATAGCCTGTGCTTGTACTGTAGGAGCAGAAGGTGTGGACGAAGACGCTCCCATTCTGCCCTGCAAATTTCAACCAATAAAAGGGAAATTCATTGTTATTCTTGTATTTAGCTACACAGATGCAGTTTGTAAAAAGTGATGATTAAAATATAGTTAATCTTTCATCAGACCCCATGTGTTACAACTGTTAAGACCAGTTTCCCAATTTCTATATTTAAATGTATATGTTTAAAGGAGGCATGGCTATCTTTCCATGTAATCATTGGCTTGTGCTTAAAGAAATTATACAATGCCAATAATAAAATTCTTGTCCAAATGCTCATTTGATAAACCAGGCCTGTTACCGGTTACAAGTAATGACCAGTTTTCAAAAGACACCTTTGAAGCATCATATTTTTTTTGCCTGTCAGTTTTCAAAAGACACCTTTGAAGCATCTTTTCTTTTTTTTTTGCCTGTCAAAAACTGTTAAATACAAAAACTAATATTCATAAACTGAGAACTTTTTTTAAAGGTATTTTAAAGGTCAGCAATGTGTGACACAAACATATCTGCATTATACAAACAAGATAAAGGGGCATTAAAATGGGTAACTGAAACTGTTTACATGCCTATGTTAATAAACAAACAAAAAAAAAGTACAGGACACCGAGGGTATTCAGTTACACCATTTACTACGTTTTTCCAGGATATCCGAGGGTATTCAGTTACACCATTTACTATGTCTTTCCAGGATATCATAAATTATTAAATTATACATTATACATTTTTATTCTAGTGTTTTTTGGTCCTGCATTCATCAGGAAGGTTTATTATTTTCTTATTTTTTACCCTTCTGTATGTAAACGAGACGCTGTTTAACTGTAAATAGCCAATGGAAGAACGACACCAGTAGATGGCAGTAATAGAAATCAAAGGGCAGACATCTTCCCGTAAATCCCCAAGAAGGAGAACCCGAGGACGTTTAGAGAGGTTATCCTAACCTTATTGTAAACTGTTTAATTTCAATTTTTTTTATATATATTTAGTTTTTGAATTTGTCCTTCATGTTTCAAACTCCGGCTCTTGAGTAACGGTTGACGGAAACAGTGCTTCTCGCTCTGGCTGTCATTAACGCCGCAGCGTTATGACATCATAGCTCAGGGGCGCTAAGGTCGAGACAGCTATCGTTTGTGTATGCTCATTCAGTACGATATTGGGGCATGTAGCCAAGCATGGAGCCCTAAATTGAGATAGCTAAATTCGTAGGTTTAGCAACACGAGCCCGTAGGTCAGGGGGACACATGATAAACTGGCCAACGGCCTGTCACCTTAAGTAACCCCTCATTTACTCCCAGCACCGTAATCTACCTAAATGTGCTAACTGTCAGTTCCGTCTCTAAACGACCGACATCTATTAATGTGCAGTTAATTAAACTAAAAGATCGGTCTGAAATTAAAAGAATGCTTGTTATTGAATAATCCTAATCTTACCGTTTAAAGCCGGCGTTATCAAGTATAACTAACCACCTTGCTATAGTCCGAATTGCACGTAAAACACAATAGCAAAAGTGACGTCTCGTTTGTTAAAACAATGCGGAATTTTATACGTCAAAAAAACTTTTCTTACTTTTCTGGAAAACAGATGTACAGATGTGTTATATCCCCGGCGTGGACGTCCAGGACGCAGTTACTGATACAGTATTCCCCATCAGCACTTGGGGAAGCGTTTGTGACCACGTGCTTTACGTAAGCACGTACGATACGTCATTGCGTTACGTTTGTATGGTAGACCCAAACGCTGAGCCCTGATAAGGTCGATGTGCTGAACTGCTTTGGTTTGTATTTGCTTTGAGTTTATGGTTTTTTAAGCGATAGTAAATTTTTTTTATTTTATTTAAATAACGTGTTCTTCGTGATTTTTAAAATGTATAAATATAATTTTAATGGTTGATTCATTTTATGTTAATTTTCTGATTACACCACAACCAACAAAAATATTTCTAATGTTTGATTTATGTACAAGGTACATATAAAAGGTAAATAAAACAAACTGTTATACTTTTTCTATTATACTGTGACTATATTCATATGATTTCTTTGCCACTTTTTATTAAAAAACACATACAGATTAAACAGACTACTGAGATAACATTGTTGGAGTTTTTTGACACTTTTGCCTCGGAGAATATTTATCTGTAAGTATAAAGTTTTCTGACAATATATGCAAATTTTTTTAAGTTTGTTAATTGATAGATGCTAATTGATGTTTTTTAATGTTTTTTTTTCGGACATAGTACCATGGACTAAAATGAAAATCAATGAGTGAATAAAAAACCTTAAATAAATAAATACTGTAATCGCAGCCTGGAGCACTGTCTGAATAAATGTTGCAGAAACCGTCTTGGGAAGAATAGGAGGCTCTCTGCGTATCTGATACCTATTTGTGCTAGTCGCACCGTGCACAATCCTCCACTTGAGGTCGCCAACCCGTTTTTCAAGAAAAGGGAACACACGACGAGAGGAGATGACGGTATATCGACTCTGCATCAACAAGTACTACAACTATTATTGCGTTTTTATATTTGCAGAAAAATATAATACATTTTACTGTACATTACCATATAATGCAGTTTATGACTGATTCGAAATTTGGTTTTAATAGCGATTTTTTTTTTTTTTTACTTTTTATTATTATTATTTTAATAGTGATAGATAAAATTCATTATATTTTGCAATCATCATTTTGGCTTAATGTCCAATTTATTGTACGGATGTCCGATAATATCAGCCAACTGATATTATCAACCGATATTAGCTTATATATGTAATATCAGTAAGATCCGTTATTGTTTTTTTTCTCCGATAATGAAACCCCGATAACGCAATGCCTGGGTTTTGCCAGATGATGGCGTATATGAAAAATCTGCCTTTAGCCCATTACCTTAGTGAGCAGACAGCACTTTCCTTCCTTAGCCACATGGCCACCCCTGCCCCACTATATCTCTTATTGGTTGATATAGAAATCGGAAATTAAGTATTTGGACAACATTGGCATATCGGATATCAGGAAACCTTAGTATCGGACATCGTTATTTGTTGTTTTCTTCTGAAATTACACTTTCTTTCCTTGTTTATATAGATCAATATTTTATACTTTGTTTTTTTTTAAGTAATACCACGCAGACAGTTTTTCATGCAAAGTCTTTTATTTATTAATAGTCTGAAGTACTGTACAACAGCACAAACAAGTCTCTATTAACGACCATGAATTGAAGACAAATATTGTGCCTTCGGAAACAGTTCCCTTTTCACAATAATCTAAAAATATGTCGTTCTGTTTAAATATGTTGCTTAACCTAAAAAATAAAATATACATTATATGAAATATAACACTCGTCTATTAGCTGTGTAGTACCAAATGCAGTTATATGCAAATGCCTCTTCGACACACAGTCCATGCACAAAAAGGGGGAAAGGAAAGATGCTGTGCATACAAAAGAAGCTGTACATACTTGTATGAAAATAGAAAATATCAAAGCAAGGTGTGCAACAATAGTCTATAGAAGGTTACAAAGAATTTGCAGTACAAAGAGAATGTATGAGAATGGCCAGATAACGCAGTACCTGGAACACAGAGGTACAAGTACGGGGTCAACAGCACGAAGACGACACCTCCCGAGCCAGCATGTCCATGTGGACCCAATGTGGGTTAAAGGCTACATATAAATGGCCCTGACTCATAAATGGGCAATTTGTATGGAGCCCTCTGGTAAGGCCTATGTGGGCGCTAAAACCCAGCCTACTTTTAATCCACACAAATGCTGGCTGGGGTCAGAACCTAACGTCCACTGATGAACTCAGGTTGGAACCACTTTCACACAGAACCACATCCAACAACTGTAACATCAAACACAGCCGGACCAGCGAGGGGACACGGTCTAAAAAGCGGAACCAAGAATTACAGCTTTAGCTTGGATTTTTTTATTTATTTATTTATTTATTTGTATTTGGAGTCACACCAAGTGAATGTTTAAGTCTGATGCATAGCACAAAGTTTGGTTTGGTAAGATTTAAAATCCTTGTATTGCTAATCATACACTTTAAGCAAAGTAAGTATAAACCAATTGTTAGTAAAGAACTTAACTTATGAACAAAGCACCGTCTGCTCGGTATCCGTCATTATTGCCCGAATGTTTGTGTTTTGTTCAAACAAAAAATATATTAAAATGTTCACGTAAAATTAGGACTTGTAAAATTCTCTGCGTGTCCCACGCTAGTAAGACCTCCGCGGAAACAGTGTGAACAAGGCACACTGCGATCGATATAGCTACATCTGTCGTTACCTGCAAAAAGCACTTTTGAAACGAGAATGAATCACTTTATGAATAACGTGATCTCCACAGTAAAATAGACTTCTGTTTTTTACACCACAAAATATAAATTTTCTTTTTCGAACGGCATAGGGAATGACATGATTGACCCGATGATTAGTTGCTGATGCCAATATTGAAAGCACCGGAGAACAGAGGAGAGGGAAGAACTGACATGTTCCTCCTCCCAGTTTGATTTACTGAGAGTTTACGACCGTGGGCTAGTCAGCGGCGACACACCGCCGTTAGCAGAAATCTGACACATGTACAAAATGATAGAGCTGCAAAGGAAAAAAAACAAAAAAAAAACAGGTCAGTCTTCTGATGTGTGTAGACGAACTAGTCAAATCAGATCACTAGCGCTAGCACGCGACGACTATATTGCTCTCGAAACTGTACAAAGACCACAGTGTTTCTCAATTGCAAACCAGACAATCTGAGTACATTCTCTATCACGCGTAGTATAAGAATAAAGAGCAACGGGTTCATTATTAGCAACGCACCCAAAGACACCACATCCAAAAAAATCTAGTCTCATTTGAACACATGTATGAAAATATACATTTCTTTATCTATTAAATGCCCTAAATTATTTTTTTTATCATATTCTTATAAATTGTAACTTTCTTATTTACATTTGGTGTAGGTTAATACTGATTGTAATGCAATACTGTTGCTTCGTGTTATATTTTTTTTGTATTTTTTTTTTTTTTTACTTTTACACAATACATTTCTAGTGTTTGCTGAGCAGAAGCACTTTTACATTCATTGTTCAGCACCCAGGCTTACACAGGAGACTGAGCGCACACAGGGATATAACGACATGCATTTTTTTTTTTTTTTTTCAAAAAAAGGAAAAACTTAACCTGACGAAGTAGAAGGGGAAAATACACCTGTGTGGGCAAATGAACTTTGAGAAAACACAACAAATATGAGAGAGACCCAGAGAATTGGCAGGACTTCTATATTTGGATGTAAAAATGTCCTGGCAGCATCAGGACAGTCATTTCAGTGAGAAGTGATGTGTGACGATATTGGAGAGGGTCACGGCCGACTGAGCCACGAGATGAAATGAAAGCCTTTGTTGCTGGGATAGGCTGTTAACTTAAGAAAGACGCATTTCCACAGTGGCGAAGGAAGAGTCAAAGGGTTACACCCTCTCCACCCGACTGGGGTCGTAGGAGTCTGATGAGAAAATAGAGAAGAGAAAAATTAGGTGAAACGGTCAATAACAAATCATGTGATACTATTTTGCTCTTACCCACAACTAGGTTAACCATTGCTCTCTTACAAAATACCCCGTAGAAAGTTAATCCTCTCATCAACGCTAGGCTATGCTAACGTTAGCGCAGCCTAGCATTGTTGAAGACCACAGATGCACTGGTGGCGCAGGTATGAGTTTCAGCATGATTGACCCTGACCAGGTGAAGTTCACACTCACAATCTGGAGCTTGCTTGTCATTAAATCTTTAAATTTCCCAAAGGGAACTCCCGAGGGACTAATAAAGTATTATCTATCTATTAGCTTGGAAGTACTTAAATAAATAAAACTAAATAAATTATAGTCTTTATTGCCATTGTAACACAGGGATACAACAAAAACGCTTTAGCCACCCGGGAAGCAGTGTGTGGGGACAGTGCCATGCTCAGAGCACCTTAGCAGCTGGTGGATTTGAACCCGAAGCCACCACTTCCCCAAACAGTAAGCCAAAAAGCAGCCTAAAGTTACATTCTTGCTATTTGTAACTTAGATCCAATTTATGTACCTACTACGTGACGTTGACCTGATTTTGGACATAAGTCAGAACTCGCATGCTGTACATAATTACCTATGTCACTCACCTACGCTAACACAGTTGTGACATCATAATCCAGAACATAAAAACATCAGAAGAATCTGTCTTACACACACAGGAGCCATATTGAAGTGAAAAAAGTTCCCGGAAAAACTACACAAACGAAAGAAAGTAAAAGCAACACAATCAAATAAAAACATCAGAAGAATCTGTCTTACACTTAGGAGCCATATTGAAGTGAAAAAAATTCCCGGAAAAAACGACACAAACGAAAGAAAGTGAATGCAACACAATCAAACGTATGGCGTAAAACTAGCAAATGCAAACAAAGCCGTCTTTCCTGTACAGTGCCGTGATATTGCTGTACGTCATAATAATGGAAGATATCCACTGCACCCACCTGAGATAGAGAACATGTTCTCGTCCTCCATACTTGAGGATCCAGAACTGAAGCTGGGGGGCAGTGTTATTTCCCTTTTAGGAACGCTGCGAGGTTTTGGGAGCAGAGGAGGCTTCTGGAGCCTGGTACGCTGCTTTGGTTTGGGTCTCCTCATCCTTTCTGTCTCTTCTAACGATTCAGCTTTGCTGCCCTCTTCAACATTCTCTCCATCCTTTGGTTTTCCTGCTGCCTTCTCTACATCATCCTCTACAATTTTCAACTCCAACTTTCCATATGGCTCTTCTGTTTTTACTGTGACCCCCACTTTATTGGTCTCATTACTGTCCTTTTCATCTCCTTCCACCAACTCTCCAGCTCCCTCCAGTCGACTTAGCTCATCGTTGCATATGACTTCTGATTTACAGTCTTTGGTCTCTCCTAGTTTATCGTCGGTCTCGTGTGCATCTCCATTATTTTCAGAGTTCTTTCTTTCTTCATCCGGTTCCTTGTCCTTTCCTAGGCTCTCAACCTTTTCCTGATCATCTGCGATGTACCCGTCCTCTCTGTCTTCTTTTGTCTCATCAGGAACAACCTCAGCTTCAAACTCTTTTAGACTGAGGCGTCTAATTCTAGACACCGAGTCCAGCTCTTTCAAACGTGTCATTCTGTCTGCAGTTGGCCTTCCTGGAGACGCAGCAGTTGAAGAAGCCGACGAGTTTAGCTTATCTTGCAGGGATTCAATTAGCTTGCATGCTCCTCCTCGTCCCTTTTTGTCCCCGCTGCACTTGCTCAGCGACAACTTCTGTTCTGGGCTGACTGGAAGGGACAGGGGGAGATGGCTGGGTGGGAACTCAGGCAGGTCTAGTACTACAGCTGAAGGACTCTCTTCGTCCTGGCTGTGATCACCATTGTTGTGGAGTTTTTGTCTTCCCCCATTCTCCTGATCACTGTCTAACTGTGTCTCCTCTGCTTCTGCTTCCTCTGTCTGAAGGTCAATCGATTGCTCCTCATTCACTTGCTCAGACGGTTCTAACACCTGCTTGGTTTCTTCAGTTAAACTTAATGGCTTCACAGTTACAGTGGCGTATGCTTCATCCTCGTTTTCCTCGGACTGCCTGTCGGCCACACCTAAAGCCTCCACGGGAACGGCGATGCCTAGAATCCTTGCAGCCCGCTGCTCGATGGACTCATTTTCAGGTATACCTTGCGCGCACTTAATCTCATACAGGTTGCTGAGGTCCTCCGCAGGTAAAGCGTTTGCTTTCTCTTGAATCAACAAGTTCTTGAGGTGTTGGTCTGCTACTGTTGATTCGTTGTTGTATGTAAGAGCTTCTGGGATGGCATATCTCTCAATTTCATCGTTCTCTTCAAACATGAAGGACGTCTCTCTGGTCAGCCTTGAGACAAGCAAGCATTCTTTAGTTGGGGATCTGCCGCTTTCCCTCTTGATTTTGTTGAAGTCACTCTCATCCCTGAATGGTGGAACACTGTCCAAGTTGTTATTCCTCTCTAAATCCACGTTGACTTTGTAGTCCTTAGCTGATATATGCTCGGAGCTATTGCCTTTTTTCACCAGCACTTCCCTGCTACCCCGCAGCAGCTGATCCGGTATATCCTTGTGAATAAGTGGCAATGGAACCGAAAGTGATCGCTGCATCGGCTCTCCAGGGCCACCTGGTGTCTCTGTGTACACAGTGAGCCCCACGTCCCTGAGCATGGATTCCTCAGGGACTGGGATGTCCTGTCTGTAGAGGTGGTTTGACTCATTGTGCGAGGATAGTGAAGACAAGAGGCAGTTGTTTTTGAGGCATGTATCAGGTAGCACCAAAGGGTTGTTGTTTAATGTCCTGGTGTTGGTCTGGAACTGGGAGAAAGCCCTCCCTACATCTTCAGGTTCCATATCATTAGTTGAATTCAAGGATTTTGATCTGACCTTTATACTGGTGGGTTTATCGATGTGCATTGGTGGAAGGCTGATCGCTTCCCTGCCTGGTTCTGGACCAGAAATAAAATGTGCTGACTTTAACTGGTTAAGTCTATTATTCATACCATCGAGAAACTCAATGCTTTGACCCATGTTGGGTCTCTTGCTGATTGTGTCTTCCATCTCCTTATTTATGCTCTCCAGTTCACCAATAGCATCACATGGTCGTCGGTTCACAGGCTTTAAGAGAAACTGCCCAAAGGCAACTTGGTCTGTACTGTCGGAGTTGCTGGAGTTGCTCTTCCTGGGAGATGATGGCTGCTCCGCCTCTTCATGAGTGTTGGGTGGAGAGAATGGGTCCTGCTGCAACGGTTGATGTGATGGTTGTAACAGTGGTGAGTGTGTTGAGTTGAGACTGAGACAAGAGAAGGCGCTGTTGCTGGAAAGGTGAAGATCTTTCTGGCCAATCATGGGGTAACTGCAGGGGGAAATGTGGTCGGTTCCCACGCCAATATCTGTGGTTTTATCAGAGGCGGACTGAGAAGACTCCTTCTTCACAGAAGGAGTCTGGCCCTCTGGACTTTTTACCACCTTCACCGGTGAGCCTGTCTGTGTTTCCTGATTACGGTACTGGTTCCCAGGCCAAGAACCAGCGTAGCACAGCTCTTTGTCTTGACTGGCTTGAAGTGCCCATGCATCTATGATCTCCTTTCTTAGCGGCGCTCTCTTGTAATTCTTCATGGACGTTGTATTGCTGATGTGTAGGTGAGAGGAGTAGTGAGGTTTGATGGGAATCTCGTTCACAGATTTGCTACGAATGTTTTGGCCCTCCCTCAGGCCTACCGCGAATGTCTCAGTGCTGGCGACACTCGGACTTCGTAACGTGTCATTGTTGTTCTGATCTGCTGACAAGTCTTTGCTCATGCTAATGGATGTGTGAATGGGAACAGACACAAGGCAAAAGATTGTCTCACTTACTCTTCTCTTAGTGTTCCTGTTGTTATCAGATCTACACTCTGGTGAAATTTTCTTAACTTGTGTGATCGTTTCTGCAAAGACCTGGTCGGATCCCTGGCGGGAACAGCTTCTTGATATTGGAGCTTGAAAGTCTTGTGAGGGTAATGGAGAATGATGTTGTTTTTTAACATATCTGTTGTTGCAGTTTTGGTCAGGTGCTGGGAAGTTATCTACAGTCTCTTTGTGCAAATCTTTGTGCCACCTGTTATTGTCATTGACAAAGTTACTAGAAGATGTCTGGTGAGCATCATCAGCCAGTTTCGCAGCAATGAATGGCCCCAGCGGTGGGGGCAAAAAGGCACTGTCGTCAGGTGCAGGTTCTGACACGGTAACACTGGGAAGCTCGTTGCGAATGTGGCGGATCTTATCAGCGTCTGTTAAGGAATTGCCACCCAGGGCAGAGGAAATATGCCGGATACGTGGGTCATCAAATGAAATATACTGGACACCTCCGCCCGTATGCTCCTGGGAAGTATATACAGGATATAGCTGCTTCTGGCAGGACAAGCTCCTCTCTCTCTGTGGATCAATCCAAGATCCTCCATTGTGTCTGGTGAACCAGTGAGATCCATCAGGAGCAGCGTGTAACTGCTGGTACACATCACCTTGATACCTAAAAAAAAAATAAAACACAAAAACACAATGTTTGAAAAAAATACTACATATTGTTAGTAAATCTATTTGAAAGGACTTTTAAACCCATCCACTGAATGATACACTTATATGTGTGTGTGTTAACCTAAGGATTAGCCTGACATGGTCAAGCATCTTTAGTACCGTATTTTCTAGACTATAAGTCGTTCCGGAGTATAAGTCACACTAGCCAAAAAATGATACAGATACTAGTACACAAGCCTAAAGTGTCCTCTAGAGGATGTCAGTGTGAAAATAACAAACATGTGAAATTATATATTTTAAAATATAAGTCACACCTGAGTATAAGTCACAAACCCACCCAAAGGATGAAAAAAGTCCGACTTAGTCCGGAAAATACGGTAGTCCTGCCAATAAGCTGGCAATTATATTTTGGGTATAGTTTGTCATTATATGCATTTGAAAGAAAATGTGTTTTAGTGAAACAATCACTAATAAATGTTAGTACAATAGTATATTAGTTCTTAATATAAAATTGTCTTTATCTGATCATTTAAGATCTTTAAAATGTACCTGTAGTCAACAGCAATTTGACCATATTCCTGGTGTCCACCAATCATTATAGGGGCTCTTTTATATGATGGAGGGGGGATGTAACCGGGAGGCCCAGAGTCCTGTGCAAAATAGTCCAAGTGGAGGTCACCTGTCCTTGATACGGGGTGAGGGGTTCTATCCCTGGTTTGTGGAATGGTAGCTGAGTCTCTCCCAGACAACATCTCATAGCTTCCCCTGATCTGCTGGTGCATTTCATAGGAGGGAGGTCTTGGGGGTCGGGTGAAGCGAGACTTTGGTGTCCTTGAGAGTTGGTGTGCACTAGCTGGTCTGCCATTCTCTGGCCAACGATGGACCCTGGAAAGGTCATGCTGCGAAAGTGGGTGGCCATTGACCCGCCTATACAGTTCCCGACCAGATGAGGCTATGTCCACATATTGCAGGCTCTCAGGCTGCAACATCCTTGGCAGGGACTGCGATTTGGCTTTGGTTCTTGGGTGTACTACCATCCCTTCAGGTGTCCTGGCATGGAATCTCTGCTGATCCTTTGCCCACCGCTCACCCTCACTCTGTGACAGTTGTCGGCGAAAGTGCACAGCTGGTCGCCATTCGTCTGCCCCTAGGCTACTGCACTTTCTTTCAGTTGCAATCTTCCATTGATGAAGAGCAGCCTCCCTTTCTTTGGAGCGAGCCTGAGCTTGGGCCTCTGCATGGACCTGTGCCTGGGCCTGAGACTGGGCTTGGACTTGGGCTGCCCAGCGCTGCCTCTCCTTAGCTGCCCTCTGGCGGTCCTCGGCAGACATCTCTTGGCCTCTAGCTTGTTGAGACCCCTCTAACCTGCTTTGACATCCTTGTCCTCTTCCTCCATGAGACTCTCTGGGGTCAGTGTAATCCAGCAACACTGTAAAATCTTGGCCTTTCCGCCTCCAGTATGATACATCCTTGGACTGCGACTGTGGACCTCTGGTACCTTCGCAGAATCTGGGAGAGAAGATACAGGAGGCTAGTTAATGTTTACATGATTTCTCATAATACTGCATTTTAGATCAAGTTTTGATATGTGAATGTATGTAAAGTAGGTAACATTTGAATGGTCCCTCATTGATTTGACCTATTATATATGTCTGATGATTTTTTGTCTGAAGATTTTTTTAAGTACCATTTTTTTAAGTACCAATCAAATGACACATTATAATTCCTGTATTTTTTGTATTTTTTTCTTATATTTTATGACTGTTTTCTTTTGCTATTCAAAAACTAAACCTGCTTCCTTATTGTAGTTACACAGAGAGCATTCATTTTTATCCTCTAGATGGAGACAGACATCTATAAATAGCAGAGCAGTGTTGAGTCGCTATCAATTTCTATGGGCATAAAGAAAACAAATAATTCACACTGGCTGTTCATCGCCAGTGTCCTTGCACACACATCAAAATTTTAAAGGACGTTTCACTGACAATCTTTCTAACTCATTGATCTGTAGCTTTAACTGTGAGAAAGTACTGAGCATGACCTTCCTGTACCAGAGGAAGGAACGCTGCTGTGTTTTTGGAATGGAGGATGTTTGATTGCATATTGCATCACGTGTGCAAAAGACGCAATGGAACATTTGCTGAGAGACTGACAGTACCCACAGAATGCTTCAATATGGGTCAGTGAAGTTGACAACAATAGCATCACTGACATTTTCATGCCTAACACTGAATGAAGATGTTAACTTAACACGTAGCATGTCTAATTAGCTCAATCCAAGGACATTCTACATGAGATGAGTCGCCATCATTAGCTTAACAGGGTCTAAGCACCGATAAAGTGAAGCACTGAGTTTGGGTCCTTCCTTATTTTACCGCCAGGAAACTGGATTTGTAGGAGAAGGGGAGAAAAAAATGAGAGAAGGATAAACCAAAACAGACTGAAATTGCACAACATATGTCTTGGGAACTCCCACATTCCCAAAGCAGTGTCATGAAAGTGTGGATTAGTCATCTCAACGAATGAAGGCAACAAAAAAAGAAAAAAAACCCACCCAACATTAACACAACTCAAGGTCATTTGACTATTTTCAGATGCTGCCTTGAGGCTTAAGGGGATTAGGACACAAAGTCCACCAGACAAAATGTGAGGAAAAGGAGGAGAAATATCTGAAAAGTCTGCCTAATTGTGTGCACATAACAACAGCTGTATTCACTCTGTCCTTGTTACTGCACATAAACTCCCTAAAATTGGTTGAAAAAGACAAACAAAACAATCATGTTTTCAGGAGAGAGAGAGAAAAAAATCCATCGACTGCAGCTAAGTGACATCTGTTGAAATGCCACATGTACCAGAAATCTAGAACCCATGAGGGTTTTCATTGCATAATCCCAGACTGAGCTAAAAATAGCCTATACTCAACATTCATATTTAAAATAAACCCTACATAAATGTTGTATTATTCATGACTGGTGCGTTATGTAAGTACATGTAAAGCCTTTGAACCAGAAGAACACATTCAAGCGTGGTTATGTTTTGGGAGTGCAACATTATTATAACTGACCTGGCAACTGGAGTGTGTAAGAGCGTGCATGCATGATTGTGGTGCACGGATCTGCCCAAAGGTTATTTTAACTACAAATTATAAAATCTCCTGTTGCAGATTAGACGCCCTTGCACTTTGTGCTCCCTTCCTTTCCCAAGTACTGACTTGGCGAAAAATCGCATCTATCTGATAGATGTGACAGTAAAGGACACGGTGTATGTGATGAACATTTAGTGTAACATTTGTTTTTTAATACACAAACTATATAAAAATGAATTCCATCAGTCGTCAACCACTGATCTGGAATGAGGAAGTGGCTCTCTCCCCCTTTACTCTACATCTGTCTAGGGCAGGGGTGTCAAACCCTCTGGCCAAAACCAGCCCTCTTGAATTTTGAAAAACAACAAGATGCTTCATGTTTAGGAACTGTTTTGTAAAATTATGTTTCAGAAGAAGGCATCATTTTCTTTAACATTCCAACAGACCCAAAATCCAACTTGCAAATCGACTGCACCACTACCTCCGCAAACGCTGTCAAAGAGGTAATTATGCTGTAACTTGACTGCATGTTACCTGACCCAAGAAATTGGAAGGACCAAGAATATGACATAGGAAATCCAAATAATTATCAGGTAACAACATTAAGCATGTGAAAAGTTTAGCCACAAAATAAGCCTTACCCGCTATCTGAGGTCAGCGACTCTCCCAAGGAATGGGTATCACCATGGACCCGACCTTCGCCTTCCCGTCTGGACTGGCTCCTGTCTCTGGGTTCATTGTTATTGTTAATGCAGCCACTGCTGTATGGTTGGGGCTGCTTGCTGCCACCCCCATTTCCATAGGATGTGTCTGGACCTCTCTCGATGCCATTCACTGTTCTGGAGCCAGGTCTGTTTTCCAATACTTCATGGTGTCTGTTGTAGGTTGGCGGAGGGGATGAGGACGCCTGCTGTGAGGAGGACGCTTGGTCTGGGGTAGGTGTGGATGAGGAGGTGGTATGTTTGGGCAGCTTGTATCCATGAGAGATAAGAAGGTCCTCAACACTGTACATGGTCACATTTGCTTATTCGGGTGTGAATATAGTTTGTCCCCCGTCTGCTTTTTTCCTCGAGAAAGACAAAGGTAGGTCACTTGACGCAGCGTTTCTACTTCTTTCTTTTTGCATTGACTGGATCACCAGAACAGCTATGCGGCAGAGGCCATCCCTGGTGGGGCAAAGAGAGTGCGGTGTTAGGACATGAGAAGACAAAATGTGAAACATATATATGTATCTTAACCCATATTGAATGGACTACATTTAAAAACATACCCACAAATCTGATTTTTTTTTACCTGCCATATCAAAAACAACAATATCTGATATCTGTCTTTCTAGTCTTGTTTTCCTAACCTCTCACTCTAACTACAACATTCTTTCTTTTGACTCTGAGATAATCAGCACCAAACCCATCCAAAACATAGACATTCGAGAGACATTTAAAACATCTAAAAAAAATTTTAAAAAAAAGAAAAATCCCCCAAAATATAATTTTTGACTAAAGAATGAAAGACAATCAAGGTGACTGTTGGTGCTGCAGTATTTTATAGTGTGTTATCAATGCCAAAAGCTGCTCAGGTTTTTGCATCAATGGGCAAGCAACATTCTCACACCAAATCCAAATTGCTGCAGTATTTTATAGTGTGTTATCAGTGCCAAACGCTGCTCAGGTTTTTGCATCAGTGGGCAAGCAACATTCTCACACCAATCCAAATGATTTTATTAAATTATTCAATTCACAAAAAGCAAAGAAGCAATGCAATAAATTGTGTGTCTCAGGCCAAAACCTATAAGATAAAGGTAAACGATAAAGTAGGATAAATAAATAAAAATAATAAATACGTTAGCGGCTTCAGTTGATAACCTATGCAGTACCATGGCTCTTGCAGCCCACACGTGCAAAACCGAAAAGTTTTCTGCGGCCCTCTAGGTGGAGCTGGCAGCCCAAGTTTGGGCCACGGCCCTCTGGTTAAGAATCACTGGCCCAGACCAACCAGAAAATGGATGATGACACTCAGCAAGTATTTGCTCATGATGGCTTTAAGCAAGTCAAGCTCGGCACGGCACGGACTCAGAGATCCAACAAACCTGGCTGTCTTTATTTAATGATGTTTCCTACCAGTGTCGTTTAGACAATTTAACATCCCATTACTCTTGGATTGTTTAATAGCAGGATAAACGTCAAAGCTTTGTACAGACCTGACTCAAATGAGTGAAACGTTTCATGCAGCCAATAGATTAGCGTGCATTAAGTTACCTAATACACTCTAAATACAATCCATCTGTTAAGGGAGCCCTGCCTTAGAACCATATCACTACCCTTGAGCTCCGACTCACTTCCCTCTTTCCTCGTACCTGAACCCAAAGATAGCCTACCGGCTGATTAACGGAATCCACGACCATGAAATGTGCCTGTCTTTGTACGTCTGGCTCACTAATGGGATTATCTTTTTAATTTAAAACCCTAAACCTATTCGTTTTGGAAGATTGACTCTTGGCGCTTGCCCAGTTCATATTCCCCGAGTTAGCTTTCCTGCGTTTGTGTTTTGAATAATCTTCTCAAGGAGAGACTGGAGACTTGTGTTTGTTGTATTCCGTCACTTGTGTTTCAGTAAACTCTAGATACATTTATCTTTTTATAGAGTACGGGGATTATGTCCCATCTGCCACAAGGCAAAGGAAGCGCTCGTACTTTAAAAGGCAGGGAAAAGTAAAGCAATCATCATGTAACAGTATACAGGAAACCAACATACAGTATATACTAAGACTTAACGTAAATCTGTGTATCACACAGATGGTCATATATTCTTACGACTAATTCTTACATCGGCCGATCTCGGGGAAAATAAATAATTGGAACATATATCTTAACATATATTCTCACATGTAATGTATCTGACCTGAAATATCACCAGGAGCTTGGACCAACATAATTCTCCAAAAAACTTGATTCACTCCAGTGACCTCATACATCATAGTGGAGAGTAATTTTGTTAATGCAGTCCAAAACGGAGAGGAACGCGGTGATCGCTCGGACAAACTGAACTTCAAATTTAAAACAAGGAGAAGACAGATTGTTTTAAAGGGTACAGATGGAAGTCGTCTGTTTTGTCAAAGTCATGTCTTCATACAAATTTTGTCTCATGCGGTGTCATATACCAAGGTTACTCCCACACTCCGAAGACTGTGATGACCTGAGCAGACGCTCGAAGGCGGTTTGAGCCACACTGTGGAATAGCCGAGTTTTGTTCAGATCTTTTCATTAGGAATATCCATCTTCATCCGGGTCGGGGTTGTTATAAAAGGCTTCGAGTAGAATATCGCATGCTGAACAGAGGTATGCAGCTGGTGTAATGCCTGAATGATAAATGATCCTCCAGTCACTAGGGGGCAGCAACTCATAAAGCGGTATGTACAGATAAGAAAATACATAGTAGTCACTAGGGGGCAGCAACTCATAAAGCAGTATGTACAGATAAGAAAATACATATTATGAGGTTCTCAATGGGAGGAGGGGGGGTCATGACTGAAAATAATTGAGAACCACTGGTCTAGGGCCCCTTGTACTAACCCCCAAACCCTGAAACTGATCTCTAAATCCACCATCCTACATTTCCCGAAGATAATTCCTGATGGATTAATAAAGTGCTATCTATCTCTATCTATGTAGCAGTTGGCAAAGCTCAATTTAGAAATTCTCTTCACTCTTATTCAATAGATTTACTCATTTCACTTTCAGCAAAAACCTCTTATTTGAGAAAATACATGAAACAATGGTCGGCTTCCTGTTCCCAAAAACATAACAATACTGTGTTTTGCTAAAGATCTTATTGTCTAAAAAACAACAGATTGGCAATAAAAGTAGCTGGAAATTGGCAACAAAGTAGAAAACAGTGCAGATCTGCTGCTGCAGTTGTATTTTTAATGACACAGCTCGCTGAAAGAGAAATTAATGATAACGTTTATGGCTAGCATATGCTGCAAAGCAAGCACAAAATATCAAAACTGCTGTGGCGCTTTCCTGC